CTCACAGTTCTTACTGACTCATCAGAGAACGAAAGAAAGAAAGAGGGAGGGAGAAGGAAAACGAAAAAAATTGAGAGAGAAATAAAGAAATACGAAGGAAAAAGAAAGAAAGAGAGTGAGAGAGAGCCACCTGGGACTCTCCTCCCCAGCTGGCCTCTTGACCTTGAACTCTCCCCAAAGTCTTAAGGGGCTTAAACAAGCTGCCATTAGGAAGTGAACTCAGTGGGAAGAAAGTGAACCCAGCAGGAAGAAAGTGAACCCAGCAGGAAGAAAGTGATCCTAGCCGGAAGAAAATGATCCTAGCGGGAAGAAAGTGAACCAAGCGGGATGAAAGTGAACCAAGCGGGAAGAAAGTGATCCTAGCGGGAAGAACGTGAACCTAGCTGAAAGAAAGTGAACATAACAGGAAGAAAGTGAACCTAACGAGAAGAAAGTGAACCTAGCAGGAAGAAAGTGAATCTTTACATTGTTTGGTATAATTTGCAGTGCCCATGTACATATTGAATCAATTTAAACTTGTATTACTTTTCTACTGATTATATATCCATCTATTTATGGAGAGAGAGAGAGAGAGAGAGAGAGGAGGTATGTTGCGGGCTGCTTCTAGTAATTTAGCCTAGTTCCCCCTTCTCCGTTTTCTGACGTGATCGCGGCGATCACTGAATAAATACTCAGCCACGACATATACAGTATACTGTATGCAAATAAATCACTGTAGGTGCGCGTGATCCAGGTATATGCTGTATATATATATATATATATATATATATATATATATAGACAGACAGATAATTATAAAATAAATACATACATACCCTGTACATACATACTGCACACACAGATAAATAGAGACAGGCAGATAGATAGATAGACCGTCCGACAAGTTCACATTGATTCAGCCAGTACAGTGTTAGACAGTGGAGGTTTTCAAACACTGTACAGTATACATAGTGCAGGTATATATAAAAATGGTAGATTTCCAACACACTGCCAAAGTGAAAGCTTTTGAACACATACATAACCTACAGACTGAAAATAACATTACACAGACCATCTACACTGAACATCCACTCAACAAACAGAACTATTTGCCATACTCTCAGTCCTGAAACTTGTTGAGGACACTGCCACTGACAGTCTCATCATCACTGACTCCTTATCCCCACTACTTGCTCTTGATACCCTAAACTCAGATTGTGACCGGCTTGTCTCTGAAGCCAGACACAAACATGTGTGTCTTGTTGACGGGGGTATTGGGATTAAACTGCTGTGGATCCCCTCTCATATAGGCATCAGTCAACATAATAAGAGTTGATACCTTAACTAAACTCGCGTCCAACAATGACACTGTTGAATACAAACTAAGACTGTCAAAAGAACCTTAAAAACTGCCTCTGGCTGTATACCCCTCAGGCAGATGTGAACGAAACTAAATGTTAAGTGAACGGCCAGACATATGGCTACACACGCCGACACTAAAGTCTAAGACGGTGAAAAAAATAGAACCTCTTAGGGACATATCCAAGCACACTGTGGATGCAATGTCAAATCACTTTATCTCTGATGGCAAGATAGCTGATATACTAAAGTTATATCCACACTTTGCATCTAGTAATGGTAGTTGAAGTATTTGCCAGGTATGAACAATTTCAAATTAAAAGAATTGTTCACCAACTGTAAACCAATCAAAAGTATCGTTCACCAACTGTAAACCAATCAAAAGCATCATTCCCCAGCAGTAAACCAATCAAAAGCATCATTCCCCAGCAGTAAACCAATCAAAAGCATCGTTCCCCAGCTGTAAACCAATCAAAATCATAGTTCCCCAGCTGTAAACCAATGAAATGCATCGTTCCCCAGCTGTAAACCAATGAAAAGCATCGTTCCCAGCTGTAAACCAATCACTATGACCCACAACATGAGGCGACGGATATTGGAAGTGTCTAGGGAATTTCGGTCGACCCTGTACATTAAATATGACCGTATCAGAGAATGTATATCTGTTAGGGATAGTGAAATGCGACGCCCAACTCAATACTCTTAAAACAATTCCCTTTAAACGAACAATATTTTCAATGGCATTTACGAACATCAATTTCTCTAATTATATTTTTTTAAGTTATTTTTTATCTTGAGAAATGTACGTGTGGGTCTAATACAGGTACTAGGGACAATGATGACTGGGACCTAACAGAAATGGGGTCTATTAGGACTGGGGCCTAAAATATATGGGGTCTGTTAGTATTGGGACTAATAGAAATGGGTCTATTAGGACTGGGATCTAGCAGATATGGGGTCTATTAGGGCTAGGGCCTAACAGATATGGGGTCTATTAGGACTGGGGCCTAACAGATATGGGGTCTATTAGGACTGGGGCCTAACAGATATGGGGTCTATTAGGACTGGGGCCTAACAGATATGGGGTCTATTAGGACTGGGATCTAACAGATATGGGGTCTATTAGGACTGGAACGTATGATGACTGGATCCTATTAAAATTCTAACTCTATCGGGACTGGGGTCTAAGTCACTTGGAGCCTGTCACCTGGAGCCTAAGTCACCTGGAGCCTATCACCGGGAGCCTAGAACACCTGGAGCCTAAGTCACCTGGAGCCTAAGTCACCAGCCGTCACCTGGAGCCTAGTCACCTGGAGCCTTGGAGCCTAGAACACCTGGAGCCTAAATCACCTGGAGCCTAGAACACCTGGAGCCTAAGATACCTGGAGCCTATGCCACCTGGAGCCTAAGATACCTGGAGCCTATGCCACCTGGAGCCTATAATACCCCGATGTTGACCTTCTGGCACTGACATTTACGTCTGTTGTTTTATGGTCTTGGTAAATATTGTGTAATGAAGGTGAGTGAGTGGGCGTGTTGAGTGGGCGAATTGGAGTGGGTGTATAGCATATCGCAGTGGGCGTGTGTTGCAGTGGGAGTGTGATGGAGTGGACGTGCGCTGGGATCTTTACACCCATAGATGGCGCTGTATCGTATTGTCCTGCTTGGTGTACACTTACCCACAGTAGACAGACTTACGACATGTGAACTTCCTGACCTTCAGTTCACAGCTAGCTTTTGTGTAATTTGTCTTTAAGATAAAACAAAAACCGTGAGAACAAGATCAGGTTATGGGAACTGCCCTTCTTACACCGAATACAAATTTATCATGACCAGGATTCGTTGTCCTAAGTGTTTGTATTATTAAAATTTTCCTCGTAATGTGATAAGAAAATAAGTGATGGCGTATCTAACTGGCTAACTTATAAGCTACAAAGTTGAATTATTAAAAGGTTCGTATGATCAGTTTTCTTGTAATTGGAGATGTGAGAACGTATCTACGTGGCTCGATTATGCTGCGGCACACAAACGGTTTCTCAGAGGTTAGCAAGGTCATTTTTTCCCTCCCTGGAGATGTGACTACGTATACAACTGGTTTACGTAAGGTGTGGCTCAAAGCGGATGATTCCCAAGGGTCCGTACGTCCATTTTTCCCCAAGCTGGAGATGCGAGAACGAACGAATATACCAGATTATCAAACGCTGCTATACAAAGATGAATCCATTAAGATTTTTATGTTCACTTTGGCCTGAATGGCAACAAGAATACATTAAGCTGTTTTTTTTTACACGACACAAAGACAGCGGCTGAAGTATGGTCGGAAATAACCTGGACTCGGTCATAATTAGACACGTTGCCACATCCACAGTTTGAGAAAAAAATAACCTACTAACCTCCGAGAATCCATCTTTATAACGTGTCTTAAGATAACTAACTAGATGCAGCCTCAAACTGCCAGTTAAGGGAATACTGAAACAAACGACCTTGAAGACCCTGTTTTTGCCTTAACTTCCATTAATTAGGCCAGGTTGATATCGTCTTTCAATTAAAAACTTTAAATAATCCACCTTTGAACCAGTTAGATGCGTTCTCACACCCCCATTTAGGGTACAGCTCTGAGTAGCCTCCCCCGGGTTTATTGGGAGCCGTGTTGGTGAGGTCTATCTCCCTCCTGCTGACGTCACGCCCCCGGTGTAGGCGGACAGTGCATTCTTAGCTAACGAGTTTAGTTAATTAAAAACAGCAAAAGTATCTCACCTGAGCTTGCATATCATAATATCTGTAAGAGTCCCCCCTCATCACCTCTCCCATCACCGTCATGCTCAACGATAAATATTACAAAATTTTGTCCGATGACACATTTTTGAGGTGATCTGTCCGGCGTTGAGGGTCTATAAAGTTGATGTGCTAGCGCCCTCAGGTCCCCTTCTGCCCACGCCCCCGGCAACAACACCCACCACCGTTGCCACCAACACACAAGCCTCGGATTCCCAAAGTTCATACGTAAATTGTTCACCTTAACTAAAGCTGTGAAAATGCTGTACTACACTTAAGCTATAACAACAGAGATGGATTCTCAGGGGTTATGAGTAAACTTTTCTCCTGAATGCAAACATGAGAACACATCTACTCTTAGAACTTAAAGATACAGTAAGACAAAGAAAGATTATCAAAATTTCTTAAAGCAGTTCTTTTTCCAAACTGGTGATGTGAGAATGTATCTGACTGATTCACTTGAGCTACAATACAAAGATGGATTGTTAAAAGCTTGTAGTATGTTAAATTTTTCTTAATGGAGAAGCAACACGGCCTCTGCTAAGTGAACTTAAAGTACAACACAAAATGAATTTTCAAAAGTTCGTACTTTCAATTATTTTGTTGCAAATGTTAGCAGATTAAGTTATCTCTTCAGTTCACCTAAACTTCACCGAAACGATGATAGCATCCACAGTGGAGAAATTACACTGGTTAGATTAGCTTAAATTAGACTGGGTTGGTTAATTTAATTTGCATACGTTGGGTTAGCTTACCTTAAGCTAGGATGGGTTAGGTTGGATTACGTTAGGTTGGTTGGGTTAAGTTAGATTAAGTTAGGTTGAGTTGAGTGGGGTTAGGTTGGGAGTGGTTAGGTTGCATTGGGTAAGAAACAAGATTGGGTTAGGTTGTGTTAGGTTGGTTTATTTAATTTACATTTCTAAGGTATTTTATTTTCACTCTGTTAATAAATACACACTTTAGGATAATATGTAATTGTCAAATATATGGAAATACATCCCATCATTCTAAACCTACTGACAATGATGATTCTTCAGTAATATATATTATTTCATATTGTATACTGCAGGGAGGCTCAAAAGAACCAGCCCCTTAATACAATATCTACTTACTATCTAATCTACTTAATTATCTACCTATGTACATAAATACACTCTGACCTCTAAGAAAGAAACACAATCATTGCATGAGATCACCATAGTCGGACTCATCCAGGGTGAAGAAATCGTCAAGTTTCCAGTGCAGAGTCTCGAAGGTGGGTCGCTTGTTGGGGTCTTTCGCCCAACACTCTAGCATAATTTTGTACAGCATGAGTGGGCACTTACCGGGTTGTGGCATTCTGTACCCTGTCTCCACCTGCTGTGCTACTTCCATATTGGTCATGCCTGTGGGGGTTAAAACAGTGTATTGTAATAGGTAACCTTTGTCAAATGCAATGTCTGATAGATACACCGTGTGGGTGATAAAACGTTTCTTAAATATAATGTTTCTTAAGCAACTTATATGTTAGATGTGATGTTTATTATATGCACCAGTCAACGCAATCACAACTTACGACCAGGCATAGATAATTACTACTACCAATCCTCATCATCACTAGTCACTACTAGCACTATCATCACTCGTCACTAACATCACCAATTATGACCAATTATCAACAGTTACAAACACCAATCTTTATGCCAGTCGAACAATCTATCTCTGTCACTACTATCTAGGCATCAATAAGTTACCATCATCACGACCAGTCACCACCATCACAATTACCACAAGTCACGACCATCGGTCACAACAACACCATCAGTCACAATCACTACCAGTCATTATCATTAGTCACCACTAGCAGTCAACACTATTACAAGAGACCACCAATGCAGAAACAAGACAGTACCAGGGTAAGGTGTGGCCCCAGAGGTGACAATCTCCATCAGCAGGACGCCGAAAGACCACACGTCAGATTTGGTTGTAAATTTGTTGTAGTTGAGGGCCTCTGGTCCAGTCCACTTGATGGGGAACCTCGCCCCTTCCTGAGCCTCGTACTCGCCCTCCTGAAGGGGAACAGCTGATTACTCCATACGTACATAGTGTTGGGAGGTAGTTCAGTAGTTGTTATTGAGTATATATGAGTGTGAAAGGCGTGTGGATAGTTTACAGTAAGTGTGATGTTGGTAAAGGTTAGCGAGGAACTGTCGACACTGAAGAAAATATCAATAACAATAATCTCAGAAGAGAGAAGGCCAAGAAGGGTGGAATGAAGGCTGCACTAGAAGTGAATGTGAGTGACTGAGGAGCACGGTAGTGAATAGTTTCTGAGGAAGGACACGGCGTGAGTAAAGCGACAAGGTTAACTAAACAAATAATTGGGACTTCACTGTGGAAGGAGAGCCCTATAGTAGAACGCGTTATAATAGTAAGAATGAATGAATAACACTGAGTGAAGGGAAAGTAATGTTAACTTTAGACTGCAGCAGGCAAAGACTTGAATAATATATGCACATAAACATACTGCCACAACTTGCTTCCTCCAGCGCCCCAGGATCATAAAGTCGCCAAATAAGTAATACAACTTCTCACCTGAACAAGTCGCGAGAGGCCGAAGTCTGCGACCTTGACGCAATTATTTTCGCCGACGAGGACGTTCCTTGCCGCCAGGTCCCGATGAATGAAGTTAAGGGACTCCAAGTACTCCATCCCTGACGCCACCTGGGCACCTATGTACACCTGCTCTGTCAGGGGAAGCACCCGTCCACGGCCTGTTGGGAAAGAATAGGTGGTAAGTAGACGGTGGTGGTAGAGAGGTGTATTGGTGTGAATGATAATCCTGGTTGTGTGACAATAGCAGTTGGATGCAGAAATTACTGTTACAAACACTTTGGCCTACACCAGGTTTTCACGCACATTTTGCTTGAGTTTCAAAAATGGTAAAAACTGTATTTTCTACATATTGCATAAAACACTTTATTAAGGCCACAAATTTCAGATGATACACCCTCAATATCCCCTCTCCTTTCACAGGCATACAGGTATGTGCACCTTCAAAGGCACAGCCACATTACTGTTGCCCTGCTCCTGGTGATGAACCAAATTACAGTACAGTATTTAATGACCAAATAACGTAACTTCTTATATGTCCTTTAAATGGTTTGTGTATTTAAAAAGAGTTGAAATATAAAACACATTGAATTTATTCTAAAATAGAGACGCCTGTGGTCACACCACCAGACAGCATAACCAGTGCCGGATTTAGACCTGTGGAGGCCCATGGGCAGCCTCTTTGTGGAGGCCCCCCCCCTCATTATAACTACCCAAGAGGGTGGGGTGGCGAGTGAAGCGAGCTTAAACATATGGGAGTTCCCGGGGGGCGCTGTAAGCCCCCCTGAGCATAACGACACAAAGAAGGGAAAAATATAAATAATGGCAGAGAGGCAAGGACACCCACACGCACACACACTACTACTACTACTACTACTACCTCTACTTTGCTGTCACTCGGAATCGAGTATGATGATCATCCAGCTGATACAATGATTTGAATTATTAAGGATGTCACCTTCGTTGGTGAGCTCTGAGGTGACTCGAAAGGCCGATACGGGACCGGCAGGGTCGTCCACAGATGTTGCACGTATAAAGTGTGGAAGGGGCGGCGGCAGCCGGGCAGCGTATTTCCGGTGTTGGCGCTTCTCTGCCTCGGTATGCAGTCATGCTAAGTCGAAAGTAGTGACACCTTGTGTGGTGCTCCTCCAAGTGTTACGCTGTGTAATGATCGTCTCCCAGGTGAGGGGGTCGATATAGCACTTTTTCAGGTTTGTCTAAAGACTATCCTTATATCTTTTCAGTTGCCCTCCAGCGTTACGTTTACTATTCGTTAGGTGACTGCAAAGTAGCTGCTTTGGCATTCTACTGTCGTCCATGCGGGTAACATGGTCATTCCAAAATAGTTGTTCATGGATAATGGTAGCCTCGGTGCTCCTACAGTTGGTGTCAGCGAGAATACTGGCATTTGTTCTCTTGTCTTCCCAGCGAACTCGGCGGATGGAACGTAGACTACGTTGGTGAAAGTTTTCAAGTGCCTTGAGGTGCCTCCTGTATGTGACCCATGTCTCGCTGCCATATAGCATGTTGGGTAGTACTGTCAAGCTGGATGGATGGTAGAGGTGTGGCTGAACCAGGGGCAGGCTGAAAGAGAATCTGAGTCTTACGTACATTCACCTCAAGGCCGAAGTGTGCATGCGCATCTGCGTAGGTGTTCAGGATCTTCTGTAGGTCACGCTCAGTGTGAGCGACGAGGGTGAGGTCGTCTGCATTCTGAGTTCAGTAATGGAAACTGCCGACACCTGTGTTCCTGCCTGGAGTCGTCTTACGTTGAAAAGACCCTTCATCCGGTACTGGATGTCCACCCCGCCGGCTAAATTAGTACTGCCACGAGTAAGGAAGGCAGCCAAGAAAATGGAAAAGAGAGTTGGTGCCAGTACACATTTTGTTTTACCCCCGTTTGGATGGGGAAGAAATCAGACTGGGTGCCATTGTGCAGGTCACTGCTGTTCATGCCATCGTGGAGTTGCTTCACAATGGCGATGAATTTTGGTGAGCAGGCAAAACGGCAGAGGGCTTCCCTGTTGACCGAGTCGAAGACCTTGGTTAGGTCGATGAAAGACATGTACAGGTCAAGACGCTGTTCTCTGCACTTCACACACACACGAACAAATACCCCAGAAGCAACCTTATGACTGACGCATACTAGACAGGATGAGTACCTCTGAGGTAGTCTAGGAGGGAGCCATTACGCATGAGCTCAGTGATGATGTAGATGGGCTGCTCCTGTGTCGACACTGCGTACAGCTGCAGCAGCTTGGGGTGCCGTAAGCCCTTCAATACCTGCGCCTCCTTCAGGAAGTCCTGTTGGTTCATCTTTCCTGGTGGAGGAAACAGAATGTTACTTGAGCTATAAACTGGACACGGCGATGACAGCTAAGATTAGATGGTAAATATTTTATTTATCTAGCTGTTATCTTTACTCCTCTCACATTATTGGAGGAGCAAGAAGTACAGAAGCCCGATAGAAAGGGGAGTAGTCAAAATAACAGGATTGTAGTAGGTGGTACAGCGGTAACGCGCGAATCTCTCACTCCTGTGTCATAGTGTTAATCCCCAGCCCTGGATGGGTAGGACACCATACCAAACATCACAGGTGTTCTCCGAGTACTCCGGTTTCCTCCCGTATTAACACTGAACAATGAAGGTTATAAAAAGCTATAAAATCATATTTCATCACTTATAACTATGACTTATTTTCTTCCTAAAAGGTTCAAGGTTCAAGTTATGAGGGTTCGGTTGTGGGTTTCATACTTCACTATGCAGCATGTCTCAGCCTCTCGGAACATACGTGTGTCCCAGAGTTTACCAAATATCACAAGACATCCTACCATGGAGAGAATAAATTTAGGCACAACTGACCAGGTTTGAGGGTCTTAACAGCGACGGGCACCGTTTTGTTCCATCGACCTTCAAACACCTCACCGAACTGGCCCGACCCCAACCGTTTCGTGAGCTCTATCTGTTCTTTGGGGATCTCCCAGGCGTCCCGCGTGTTGTACGAGAGTCCCCCCGTGTCTGGCTTGTCCATCTGAAACAGGATTTTTGTCATTATGGTTTCGTACAAAATGAAGGTCGTACTTAAGTTGATTTGGAAATCCTGATGGTGTGCCCTCTGTAGTCACCAAGTACAATGTGCAATATATGTACCAAACACTGTATAATAATGCACGTACCACAAATGTACTTTTCTTCGTCCTCTATTAACTTATTATATTTGCTAATGTACCACCTGAAACAGTGTATTAAATATATTTTAATTCAATTGAAGCAATAAAATAAATAAACTTTCTTACAAGTTATGCCTCAACATACCTCACTCCGTTCTCTGTGTTAAAAGCTAGTATTTCATTTTCTATGTTTACAGATACCTCACTCAGGTAGTTTGTACTTAGTCTCTCCTTTTTACAAATTATATTTTTTATGGTGATACTGAGTAATATAATACAGAACTCAAAATATTAGTAGCTGATTATAAATTGGATCATCTTAAGGTTGGCCCCAGCTTATTTCACCAGATGATTATACACCAAAACGTTACCTGAGGCCCTGGGGGAATTATGATGTTACGTTAAACTTTATCCTCTTGGTTAGATTAAATTAATTAGATTAGATTATGTGATGTCAAGCGAAAAAGACTTTATTTATTACACCTATAACGGACTAGAAAATGTTACCTCACCACATTAAAATCAGTAATGTCACCAAACAATCCTACCTACTTTATTAACCTTTTGGCCACCCACTAGATAAACTTTTTACTTTTATCCTTGGGAGGTCGGTTACGTCTCTGCTATGCACTGTTGGCAAGTACTGGGCATGCACTGGCTCCTGAATGTATCTGAACCTGCTCCAGTGCTAGTAAAGTCTGATCTTGAAACAGTTCACACTCGGTGCCTACAGCACTCCCTGGCAGGTTTTTCCAACAGTTCACAACTCTCATTTTGAAAAAGTTTGCCCTCACAGTTTTCTGGACTTGCGGCTTCTTTAACCTTGATTATCATTTTTTTTTAAATTTTGCCATTTACAGCGGCTAGTTTATTGTACGCCCCATATTCATCCTGCGAGTGGTAACGCAAAAGGATTACAGAGTAGGGTTCACAAAGGGTCAGTTTAACTAACCCCCGTGGTCAGGATATTATGGCATTGAATGTTACACAGTATTTCAAATAAATTCTTTGTTTAGTTCTGTACATAGAGGGTAACTTATTCGCAAATGCGTGAGTACCGGCGTGTGAGGCAGGATGTCTGGCCTCACACTTTGTTATTCACATTTTTTGTGAGAAGTATTCAAGCACATTGAGTTTGGTTCCATACATGGGAACTGATATAGCTACTATGTGTCAAAAAGGTGGATACAAGCTTAATATATCGGCTACCTTACCATTAGAGATAAAGTGTTGTGCCATTTCACACACAGTGTGCTTAGACCTGTCCCTAAAATGTTCTAACTTCACACAGTCAAGGACGTAGGGTCCAAGTGTGTGGCCATACGTTTGACCACACACTTTACATTGAGTCTTGTTCACATCTGCTTGTGGGATATACTGCCAGAGATATTTATATCCTGACCTTAGTCTAGCGGTTACAACATCTTGTAATCTAGTGATCTTGTTACTTGCTCCATATACATGTTTCACTTGATACATCTCATCATGGAAAACAATAGATTGACTAGTGCCTGTTTGCACTTGTCTGTTTGCGTCAAATTCATCAAGTTCCATTTATTTATTTATTTGTTATTTTTTTTTATTTACTTTTTAACAGGGATTAGCCTACCCGGGCACAGGTCACTGACCCACATCGGGGCCTGGGGGCGAAAAGGTAATTATAATAATAATAATAATAATAATAATAATAATAATAATAATAATAATAATAATATTATTATTATTATTATTATTATTATTATTATTATTATTATTATTAACAATAATAATAATAATAATAATAATAATAATAATAATAATAATAATAATAATAATAATAATAATAATAATAAAAATAATACTAAAATAATAATGATAATAATAATAATAACAGTAATAATAATAAATAATAATAAAGAACTATTAAAAAATACAAAAATTAAAAAAAATATCAATAGTGAGAAACGATATATCTATATTGTGTTGTCACAGTAAGAGAAACAATTGAGACCCTGCAATTGTGTGTCAATGAGGCAGAAAGGCAGATCAGCAACCTGGAACTTGATCACAATTTTCGTGATGCCATATAACAGCAGGGTCTACCATTAGACAACACATTATGCTTCCAATATTTTCCTAGGCGGTAGTACCTCCCTGTTTGATAGCTGCCTACTACCTACTACCTATGCATTTTTTATTTTTTTTGACAGATCCAGATTGTATTCAACAGTGCCTTCGTTAGACGCGAGTTTGGCGAGGGCATCAACTCTGTCATGTTCTTTGAGGCCTATGTGAGAGGGGATCCACAACAGTTTGATCTTGACACCCCGGTCAACAAGGTACACATACAGTATGTGTGTCTGGCTTCAGAGACAAGCGCGTGACAACTTGAGTTGAGGGTGTCTTGAGCTGTGACCCCTTGTGGGGTAAGCGTCCGCCAGCTCCAGGTATGGACAATCGACTGAGAAGTGCCCTTTGAAATGTTTATACACCTTAGCTTTTTAACTTTTATCCTCTTCATCAAATGATCGGCTCGTTAGCCGCTTGGGCGATCGGTCACGTCTCTGTTACGCACTGTTGGCAAGTACTGTTGCATAAGCTAGGCAATTACAGGCGCTCTTAATCTCTCTGGGTAACTGAGGTGCCGAAGTGCCGGCACCAGTCTGGTGGCCCTCCTTTGGATATATTCAATCAACTGACAGTCCCTAGCATATCTCGGGGACCAGGCAGGGTGACAGTACTCCAGACGGGAAAGCACCTTTCTCTTAAAGGTCATTCAGATATCTAGACGGTCCGTCTAGATATCTGAACGACCTTCTTATAGGACCTAATAATTTAGTTGTTTGATTCATCTTCTTTTCACAATAGTCCGAGAACTTCAGCTCATTGCCAACATGAACACTCAGGTCCTTTTTGCATTCAGTCTCAATACAGTTTCTTCGTCCCCTTGGGACATACGATACTCCTCCTTACCGTTGGTACGTCCCAGGTGCAGCCTCTTACACTTCGTGACATTGAATCTTCGCAGCCATTTCTTCGACCATTCTTGAAGCTAACAGAGATCTTGCTGCAGCTCTTCACACTCTGCTTGGTTCTTAATTTCCCTAAATAACTTGGCCTCGTCCGCAGACATTTGTATGGAGGAGTGTACAGCTTCTGGCAATTCATTTATGAAGCAAATAAACAACAGCGGGCCCAATACACTGCCCTGTGGTACCCCGCTTGTCACAAATGAGGCTAAAATAAGTTAATATTTTACAGTAAAAAATATTATTATTACTATTATAAATAGTAGGATGAGGTTAGGTTAGATTAGGTTAAGGTATTTAAATAGATGAAATAAGCTAGAGGGGCTAATCTTCACCTCATCCATTTTTTCTGTTCTGGTACCAAAGTTATGGAGAAAATTTACTTCATAACCAAATATTACTCACCCTGATACATGGGTTGTTAAGTCTAGTGCAGAGACCGGCGGCGTCCTCACTATAAAAGGCGACGAGGGAGTGGAGGGAGGAGAAGGTGTCCCGCCGCCGAATGAAGTAACCTCCGTGATCCCTGGGCCGGATTCTGTAGTGAAACACCTTCTCCGCGTCACGCACTGTCAACATAGATAGACAGACACATGGATAGATACTGTAGATGGAGAGAAAGACAGATGGACATTGTGTATGTATGTATATATACATATTATTTCATGTAGATCCACAATGGAAACGTGGACAAGATAAATCTCGATAAAACCACACAGGAAAAGGGAAACACTGGAGCACTTAAGCTTTCGTCTTTATTCATATATATATATAATTATATATATATATATATATATATATATATATATATATATATATATATATATATATATATATATATATATATATATATATATATATATATATATATATATATATATATATATATATATATATATATATATATATATATATATATATATATATATATATATATATATATATATATAGAGAGAGAGAGAGAGAGAGAGAGAGAGAGAGAGAGAGAGAGAGAGAGAGAGAGAGATTAATTTTCCGTAAAATATCATACAAATTCACATTTCTTCAGAATGTACTGTACATAAACAGTGTAGCCATACAATGACAAACAATACGTCCATTCAAAAAACAAAAAACAAAAACAAGCACGCAAGCAAGCAAACAAGCACACACACACACACACACACATGTTACTTGTATATTATTTGTAATTCGAAACCCATTCCCCAAATATGCAACTGTATATTTTCAGCCTTCTGGCTGCCAAGCTCTTTCAATAAACCGTTAATTATTATTATTATTATTATTATTATTACACACACACACACACACACTTTTAAAATCTAGGGCTGCCTTTATTCACCGTGCAGATGGAGGTTTGTTCAATACTGAACCACCAATTCTCTGCAACTCTGCAAACTGTACTGTATCATTGACTCAATCCTCTATGTCAGCGAAGGACTGGTCAACAGATGCCAGGAGGACAGAATGAGAAGCAGTTCAGGTCACAGGGAAGTAAGTGAGAAAGTCAGAAACAGTTAACGCAAAGAATGACTACTTCTGACAGGGTAACAGTGGTATAGTAGTGAACGTGGGGTGTAATAATAATACTTCACGTTTGCCTCTAAGGACTGGGTATACACACCTTTAGTTTTTAATTAAGGCACACTGTAAAATCGCATAATCGTATAACATCATAAAGTACAAATAAATATTACAATACAAACTTTTTTTGCAGAAATTTGCTAGATAAACTTTGTGGCAGCAGAGGTTGTGACTTGTGAGTGCCTTACCTAACCTAACCTACCCTATCCCCTGACTTAACCATACCTCACTTAACTCCTTATTTAACCTAACCTACCCTATCCCCTGACTTAACCATACCTCACTTAACTCCTTATTTAACCTAACCTAATCTTACCTAACCTAACCTACCCTATCCCCTGACTTAACCATACCTCACTTAACTCCTTATTTAACCTAACCTACCCTATCCCCTGACTTAACCATACCTCACTTAACTCCTTATTTAACCTAACCTAATCTTACCTAACCTAACCTACCCTATCCCCTGACTTAACCATACCTCACTTAACTCCTTATTTAACCTAACCTAATCTCACCCAACCTAACCTCACCCATCCTTACCTAACCTTACTTAACCTTACTTAACCTCATATGATTTTATTAGGAGAAACCCCATCCACTCAATGGCTGCCTTCATCATAATACCTTGGTACAGTATATTATAACGGTCCGTGTTGTGATGATGGTGGTTGTGGTGGTACTGGTGATAATGGTTGTGGTGGTACTGGTGATGATGGTTGTGGTGGTACTGGTGATGATGGTTGTGGTGGTACTGGTGATGATGGTGGTTGTGGTGGTACTGGTGATGATGGTTGTGGTGGTACTGGTGATGATGCTGGTTGTGGTGGCACTGGTGATGATGGCACTGGTGTGATGGCTGTGGTGTACTGGTGATGATGTTTGTGGTGGTACTGGTGATGATGGTTGTGGTGGTACTGGTGATGATGCTGGTTGTGGTGGTACTGGTGATGATGGCTGTTGTGGTGGTACTGGTGATGATGGTTGTGGTGGTACTGGTGATGATGCTGGTTGTGGTGGCACTGGTGATAATGGTTGTGGTGGTACTGGTGATGATGGTTGTGGTGGTACGGTTGTGGTGACTGGTGATGATGGTGGCTGTGGTGGTACTGGTGATGATGCTGGTTGTGGTGGCACTGGTGATGATGGTGTGTGGCACTGGTGATAATGGTTGTGGTGGTACTGGTGATGATGGTTGTGGTGGTACTGGTGATGATGGTTGTGGTGGACTGGTGATGATGGTGGTTGTGGTGGTACTGGTGATGATGCTGGTTGTGGTGATACTGGTGATGATGCTGGTTGTGGTGGTACTGGTGATGATGGTTGTGGTGGTACTGGTGATGATGGTTGTGGTGGTGGTGATGATGCTGGTTGTGGTGGTACTGGTGATGATGTTGGTTGTGGTGGTACTGGTGATGATGGTTGTGGTGGCACTGGTGATGATGGCTGTGGTGGTACTGGTGATGATGTTGGTTGTGGTGGTACTGGTGATGATGGTTGTGGTGGCACTGGTGATGATGGTTGGTGGTACTGGTGATGATGGTTGTGGTGGTGGCGATGATGTTGGTTGTGGTGGTACTGGTGATGATGGCTTGTGGTGGCTGGTGATGATGGTTGTGGTGGTACTGGTGATGATGGCTGTGGTGATGATACTGGTGGTACTGGTGATGATGGTGGTGGTACTGGTGATGATGCTGGTTGTGGTGGCACTGGTGATGATGGTTGTGGTGGTACTGGTGATGTTGTGTGGTGGTACTGGTGATGTGGTGGTACTGGTGATGATGGTTGTGGTGGTACTGGTGATGATGGTTGTGGTGGGTTGGTGATGATGGTTGTGGTGGTACTGGTGATGATGTTGTTGGTGATACTGGTGATGATGGTTGTGGTGGCACTGGTGGTGATGGTTGTGGTGATGTTGGTTGTGGTGGTACTGGTGATGATGGCTGTGGTGGGATGATGGTTGTGGTAGTACTGGTGATGATGGTTGTGGTGGCACTGGTGATGTTGGTTGTGGTGGTACTGGTGATGATGGTTGTGGTGGTACTGGTGATGATGGTTGTGGTGGTACTGGTGATGATGGTTGTGGTAGTACTGGTGATGATGGTGGCACCTGGTGATGATGCTGGCTGGTGATGTGTGGTGGCACACTGGTGATGGCTTGTGGTGGTACTGGTGATGATGGCTGTGGTGGCTGGTGATGACTGGTTGGCTGATACTGGTGATGACTGGTTGTGGTGGTACTGGTGATGATGGTGGTTGTGGTGGTACTGGTGATGATGCTGGTTGTGGTGGTACTGGTGATGATGGTTGTGGTGGCTGGTGATGATGGTTGTGGTGGTACTGGTGATGATGGTTGTGGTGGTACTGGCGATGTTGGCTGTGGTGGTACTGGTGATGATGGTTGTGGTGGTACTGGTGATGATGTTGGTTGTGGTGATACTGGTGATGATGGTGGTTGTGGTGGTACTGGTGATGATGGTTGTGGTGGTACTGGTGATGATGTTGGTTGTGGTGGTACTGGTGATGATGTTGGTTGTGGTGGTACTGGTGATGATGTTGGTTGTGGTGGTACTGGTGATAATGGTTGTGGTGGTACTGGTGATGATGGTTGTAGTGGTACTGGTGATGATGGTTGTGGTGGTAATGGTGATGATGTTTGTGGTGGTACTGGTGATGATGGTTGTGGTGGTACTGGTGATAATGGTTATGGTGGTACTGGTGATGATGGTTGTGGTGGTACTGGTGATGATGATTGTGGTGATACTGGTGATGATTGTGGTTGTGGTGATGATTGTGGTTGTAGTCGCACTGGTGATGTAAAAAATACCAACGCCATCTCCATCAAAAAACATACATGACATAACACACACACACACACACACACAGACGCCTCTGTAAGGTGAGGTCTCCTGCGGCCTGTACTGTAAATGATTCCCCACTAATAACCATTAATCTCCACTATCAGTTCACGTCTGTCTGATTGTGTTATCAACGGCAGGAAACTGGCAGGCGTCACCTTCGTCTTATCT